AGAAGGGGCCAAATTCGGAGCTCGTTAAAACCCCTTGGCGTCGTCAGAGCAAAGGCGATTTTCCACCCAGCACAACCAGGAGATCGGCCCCCTCCCACCGCCATGTCGGGGGGGAACATGGGAAAACACTTGCCCCAACGCCGCCTCATCTTTGCCCCCCAAAACTGCGATCGGGTCTGGTTTGTTTTGGTTTCGGTTTAAGAATTTGCGAGTCCGAGCGCTGGCGCGGTGACCCAGAATAATTTGACGTATTATTATTATTTTTTTTTCCTTTGTCGGGCTTCCTGCCTTCTCATCGCTCCCAGTTCCGGCAAAAGGGTATTTTAACTCTCGGTTTTGTTTTGGCCCTGGACTGGACTTCCGAAGTCCGGGCGAGGACAGCCGGGTGTCTGTGGTTTCGGGGGGCGTCGATCGCCCAGGCAATACTGTGAGTTAATTGGGCCCGGACGCTCCTAGAGCTGATACTCCCTTCTGCTCACGTGATAATTAAGAAACGGGGCTTTCTGAAAAAACAAAACCCCAACCAACCAAACAACTCGTCAGCGTCCTGTCTGGCTTTGTTTCTGCCTCAGGTTGAATTCTCCTCTTTCTTGCAGGACAATATCCCACCCAGCCGTCCTACCCCGTCCAGTCTCCCGCCAACCCCGCCGTGTACCCACAGACTATGCCCCTTCCACAGCCACCGCCCTACACAGACGCACCTCCTGCTTATTCCGAGGTAGGCGGGACGCTTCTCCGAAAGCTTCATTTTCTTCTGGGGCCCCTCCCAATGAAAAAAAAAACTTTGAATAAGTTTAGAGCTGGAATTTTTTTTTTTTTTTTTTTTTTTTTCCTGGAGGACTTGTTTGCTGCTTATGTCACTGGGCAGCGGTCTGTCCCCAGATTCTCTTATGAGATCTGAATCATCCACTCGAAGTGATAAACGTTCAAAGCTTCCCCTTAAGTTAAGATGACAAACTTAGCTCACCTGTAGCTGTAAAACACACCTATGATAACCTCTCTTAGTTGAATTCTTGCAGGCAGTGGGGGAAAACTGTCTCCAACAGTGGGAAAAATGTTTTTTTACCCATACCCCAAAGTAAACGCTCAGGGAAGGGGACTCCCTTGTGCAAGGAGGAGGGTGAAAGTCTGCTTTGGAGCTAGTGCTTTGACAGCAAGGCTGAGTAAACAACTGGGTGTGGAGAATAACAAGTCTCTAAACTTGCTTGCACGGCTTTTTTTCCCAGCTTTACCGTCCCAGCTTTGTGCCTCTGGGGGCTGCCACCGTACCGACGATGTCTGCGGCATATCCGGGCACTTCTGTCTTCCTGCCCATGGCCCAGTCTGTGGCCGTGGGTCCGATCGGCTCGTCGGTCCCGATGGCATATTACCCCGTGGGACCGGTTTATCCTCCGGGATCGACAGTCCTTGTTGAAGGTGGCTTTGATGCTGGAGCAAGGTTTGGGGCTGGTGGAACAGCCAGCATCCCTGTAAGTATTCATGCATCCTCAGAACCCGGCGTGCTTCAGCGTTAGGGGTTTGCGGGCGGTAATGGGGGAGATGATGTCCTTTTTTTTCTGAGAAAAACATATTTCCTACCCGTTCCATCATTTGAGAGAAGAGTGGGCTCCTACTTTCATGCTAAGGGTTTGCTGTCTCTGGCCAGCCTGTGGCTCTGGAGCTGCGTAGGCTCACAGGTGGTTATGGCTCAGCAAAACCATTGCGTGGCCAGTGCTAGCCCTGATTTGGCCTGGGGGCCATGGCGTAACGCGCCTCGGGGGAAGGCAAGCCAGTAGGGCTGTTTAGTGACCTGACTTTCCCTGGCCCCAAACGCAGACTTGGCCTCTTTCCGTGCTACGGGGGAGCTGTGGGAAGTTCCTCCTCCCCTGGACTTTCCACCCGTGGCTCACGGCCACATGAAGATCTTGTTCCACAGCTCACAGGCTCCTCAGCGTGGGCAAAAAGCCAGGGCCAGCCGTATGGGCTGCAGGCTCCGAAAAGAGAGGGCAGGGCGTGGACGAGGAACCGAGCGTTTCCCATCAACTCCTGGACTCTGTTGCTCAATCTTTGCTCGGTAGCAAGTGACGGGGACATCGACTGGGAGGTTTCTGGGTCCCTGCGGCCCACGGTGGCTTTGTGCCAGCTCCCGTCGTGGCACCGACCTCAACTATCCTCTCCCCCTCTCCTTTTTCTGTCTTCCAGCCCCCCCCTCCTGGCTGTCCCCCCAATGCTGCCCAGCTGGCCGTAATGCAGGGAGCCAATGTCTTGGTGACGCAACGGAAGGGAAACTTCTTCCTGGGAGGCTCAGACGGCGGCTACACTATCTGGTGAAGAAGGAAGGGGAACGGGGGGAGAGGGGGGGGGCTACATTTGTGTAAGGAAAGACATCACATACTGTCAGCACTTCTCACGATGTAACTGCTTTAGTCCATATTAACCTGAAGTTGCAGATCAGACACACAGCGGTGAGGTGTCTTCCTGGTTTGGTGCCCGGCCCTGCAGGCACTTCCAAGCGAAACAAGAAACCCTGTTAACGATAGCAGTGCCTCTGTTCAAACGGGGAGGGGGGGGGATTAATTCACGAAATGAATGTGAGCTCAGCAGCCCTGCCTCTTCCTTTCCTTTCACTGGAGTAATACCGCAGCGCTGAGCTTTTATTAATCGGCTACCTATACACTGGCTTTGGGGAGGGCGAGGGAGCGGATCCGGTTTCGCCTTCCCTTCATGCTCGTACCGGTCCGCTGGACCCAGAGCCACAACCACCCGGGTTTCCCTTCCATCGAAGCAAAGGTGCTGGATAGAAAAGCGAGGCAAACTTCACTTCCCAGTAGCGGGGAGGGCACCTTAGCGCTTCTTTCTTCCTGACCTCACTCTAGAACGGATCCCTCGAAGCACTCCGTGCTCACATTCGCCCATCATTTTCCTCCAGGAAGGTATGCAGCTGGCGTGTATCATGGGATTTTTTTTATACACTCCAAGTAATCTTGGATTTCTTTGCACATTAGATCTAATCAAAGCCATGCTTTGGTGCCAGAAACACAATGCAACTCATGTTTGAACATTTCATTCGATGCTAACTAGGCTTTTAGAGCGATGCTTAATAAACAAACTTTTTTTTTTTTTTAAACTCAACCTGGTGTCTTGACACCAAAACTCCTTAAGGCTGTTGTTCAGACAGAGAGGCTGGTTACCATCTGTCCAAGGGTGTGTAGCAACTGTCAATCAACACACAAATTAGCTTGGTTAATGGGTTGTTTTATGAATGCATACTTTAAAAATGACTTGGGTATAATGAAGTCTTATTAGGGTTAAGAAGAATATTTCAGGGATCCTCAATGTTTTGGGTTTGTTTTTTTTTTTTTGTTTTGTTTTGTTTTATGAAGAAAAATACCAGATTCAAATATATTTTATCCTGAGGTTTCAGTTTAATCTAAATCTGTGTCCTGTATATGTTGTGTTTAACCATACAACTGACTGTTATGAAAGTTCAGCATTACGTCTCTCTCTGTATACACTGTGGTGCACTTAACTTGTGGATTTTTTTATACTAAAAAAAAAGTAGAATAAAGACTATTTTGAAAATTTGAATAAAGTAGCAAATTTGCATTAGACCTCAAATAAAACCCCTTGGTTCCTGCCCATTGCAAGCCTTAGGGTTTCTTCACTTATTTCCTCTTCGCTGCTATTTTGTGAACTTCCTCCTTTGGGTTTGTTGGGGTTTTTTGGGGGCGGTGTGTTGATTTAAAGGAGGAACTGCCCTTGAGAAGGGAGCAGGGGAGGGACGTCTGGAGCTGCTCCTCACCCCATCTTTGTGCGTAGCAAAAGCAGGGGAAAACTAGTGTCACTACCTGCCTGCACCTATGTGTTGGTGCTAAAGCCGACTCCACGGACGAAGCAAACCTGCTCCGCTTCTGATTTCCCCAGCCCGCCGAGGTCAGGCGCCTCTCGGGGCAGGGACGAGCTTCCCCGGGTTTGTAGTTACAATGGGGCTTTCTGTAACTTGCACGATCCATCAGCCTGTTTTACATGCATGTTAACCTTAGCCTCCAAATTAGCCATGCTAATTAACCCACCCCTAAATCATCAGCAGAATAACTTAATTGTTTTGTGAGATAAGGAAAAAGAAAACAACAGCGACTCTTCAAGCCTTTGTCACTGGGCTGTATTGGAAAGCACCAAAGGGAGGAGATGGGGTGAGTGCGAGCAGCCGGAGCGTGGCTGTGCCTGCTCTCCTCCGCTGAGCCGAAGTGCTCCCTGCCCTGGGTCTGCGCCGGGCAGCAAAGGGCAAAGCTCTGACACGCACCTATTTATTTTTCCTTCCATGGTTGGCTTAATAAATTAAGGAAAAAAACCCCAAAACCCAAAACAAAACCAGCTTGTAGAACTCCAACTCCAGGAACTTTAGGCACCTTGGACCTGAGCGCATCAGAGAGGTGGCTTGGATAAAACCTTAGATAAAATACTCTTCTTTCTCTTTGGATGGAGCATCCTCCATCTGCACCGACACGTTGGTCTCTGCCACCGGCTGCTCGTAGGTGAGGTAGCTGCCTTTGTTTCTGTACAGGTAGATGATGATCACCACCAGGACCGTCAGCAGGGTGAGGAACACCAGGGTGATGACAACTACCAGGGAGAAGGCAGAGAGAGGAGCAGGGTTTAGCCCCAAGTGGTCGGTACCGAGCTGCTCCTCGGTAAACGGGGTGGATCCGGCAAGGAGAGCCCCTACCTGCGATGACCACGGTGTTGGCTTCCTCGTGGAGAGGTGGGGTGTGAGCCTTCTTCAGGAAGGGGGTTGTCAGCTCTTCTTCATCAAACCAGGAGAGAGGGAGAGAGGAGAAGGTGAACAAGGCTGGTCCCGACCCGGCTCTGAGCCAGGCTTAGCTGGACGGGGCACACGCTGGCCCCGGGCAAGGTCTTGCCGAGGATTATACGGCACGAACAGTCCAGCAAAGCTGTCCCGGGGTGCTCACCTGCAGTCAGAGGGGGCTGGTCTCCTTCCATCGCATCAGCTCCTTCCAGACGAAGGTCTGGGGTCCTTCAGAACTACCAAAAAAAAGGAATAAAAGTGATAAATTCACACGCAACACCCCGAAGGGCAGAGCCGCGAGGGGGGATGCTGGCGGTCATGCAGCACTAATCAAAGCAAAGGTTTTTATTTGGGCTGATGGAGAGGAGCGGGCTGGGGCATGCCGGGTTTGCGGGGAGGCAGCGAAGCTAGCAAAGGCAGGAGAAAAAAAACCAGCCACCGACTCTGCAATTCGCGCTCAAACTTTGAGAGCTTCAAATTGCCTGTAAATCCTTGCAAATCCTCCGATCAGGGTCCTGAGATTGATGCCGCAGCCGTAACGTTTCGCCTGCAAAAAGCAGCTGGACCAGCAGCCGCTAAATCGACCTTGGTGGCTTTCCCCGAGGTGGATGGACAACCTTTGTAACCCCCCCAGAAAATGTGTTCTGCAATGGCTCCAGTGCTCGGGCACAAGTGACTCAGCGGCTCTGCGGCGACGTGCCGCTAGATGTCAGGAGGAAATAAAATTTAATTTTTTATTTTTTTTTTAAAAAGAGGAAATTTAGCCGCGGGAGCATGGACGCGGGCCAGGAGTAGGGAGCTGGGAGTGCGGCTGTGCTGTGCTGTCAGGATGCATCTCACGAGGACGGGGCGACGCAAACCCTGCCAGCGACCGCCTGGATTTTGGAAAGCGGGATAAATTTCTCAGGATCCGGCCCTGCCCTGGTTGTCCCACCATGCCCTTGTGACTCACAGCGCTGTTGGGTGTTTGCAAAACATCTCTTTACAACAGCAGGTTTTGCTTTCGAGTGCTACCAGAGTGCAAACATTTGGGCTTACAGAGTCACAGGAACTTGGGAAAATAATTTTCCCCTTTCCCAGCAGTGTGCACGGACTGTCATGGGACCCCTGTCCCACCGGCTGGGGACCAGGACCCCAAGTCTCTCGCAGCTCCCCCTGAGAACGACAGCTTCCTCCCAGACTCAAGCTCAGGCTGGCACGAGCCACCAACTCATTAAACCCAGCTTTGTTTTAAACCCAGCTTTGCATTAAACAGTTTTGCTTTAAACCCAGCTTTGCGTTAAACTTGGCTTTGCATTAAACCCGGCTTTGCATTAAATCCACCTTTGCTTTAAACTCAGCTTTGCTTTAAACCCAGCTTTGCTTTCATCCCAGCTTTGCTTTAATCCCAGCTTTGCGTTAAGCCCGGCTTTGCATTAAACACAGCTTTGCTTTAAAGCTCATTGGGCTCCTCCGCCGGCGATGTCTGGGCATCAGGGAGCTACATGCGCTTTCCAAAGCCAACCGCCACCTTCCCACGGAGCAGCAGCCGCTGCTTGGGTGGCTTTGGAGCAAGAAATGGGTAAAATTTCCCCCCAAACTAAGATTGGGATTTAAGGGAAAGGAGGAAAAGGCGCTGCTTGATGGAAAGGGAGCTGGGTGCAATCCGGGTGCCTCGGGGAGAGGGCTCCTTGGGAACCGTTTGGCATTGCCAGTGGGGGACACAAACCCGCAGCACCTGTAATATGGAGTCCTGGGACCCACTAAAGTTTAAACCAAATTTTAGCCGGGAGAAAGACTTGCTTCAGCATCAAAATGTCGGTGCTCATGAAAACGAAGCTCCCCAGGGGAGGGATGCTCCTCCCCAACACCCCCTCCTCGCTCCTGCCTTGGCATCACGGGAAGGAGCTCCCCCCAAAAACCAACCGGGAAGGAGCCCCGTGCTCCACAGCACGGAAAACCGCGGGGTATTTTGGAGCGCCAGTTACCTCGCCAGGGTTGGGATCCAGCCGCCGCACGGTCGGAGCCTCCGGGCGTCCGCCGTGGCCGTGCCGGGGGGCTGACGGAGGGGGGGTGACTCACTTCCCCAGCACGCTGGATCCGTACGGATCTCCATGGGGTTTTTTTTTAAAGCAACGCAGGGGTTGTAAAAAAAAAACAACCCAACCATAATCTTCCTCATTCTTGCTCTCGGGCCAAGTTACTTAAGAGCCGTTCCCACAGCGAAACCCTCCCCGCCCTGCAGCTTTGCTCCCAAAAAGCTTCGCCGGGTGCCGTCGGGGATGCTCAGTGGCGCCGTCGCAGCCCCTCATTCCCGTTCCCGTTCCCGACGGATGGAAGATGGGATGAGCCACCCATCCCCGCAGCCTGCTCACCCCCATTTCTCCTCCATCACCCTGGGACGGGTCCCCCCGGGAGCAGTGTTTTGCTCTCCCCTACGCCCCGCTCAGCTTTCCCACTGGGTTTTCTGCTTTCTGCCTCTCGCCGTGGCAGGATCAGGCCCTTGCTCTTCCCGCCTGCCTGAAATCCAGCTGGAAAACACCCGGCCGAGAGCCGACATTTCGGCTTCTCCCCAAAAAAACCAGCCACACTTTGGCATCCCTCGTGGCACGACTCCCGTTGCCTCCCGGTGCAAATCCACGTGCCCAATGCAGCCAAACCCCTCCAAATCTCCCGGGAAAGGGTGAATTTTTTTTTTGGGGGGGGTCACCCCAGGAGCCACGTCACCCCCCCCACCCCAGCTCTTACCTGCGCCCGCTGTGCCGGGGCGAGCGGCTGCCGGCACCATGTGCGGCTCCGAGTCTCGCCGGGGCGAAGGCGTTGCCCTTTTCCTGCCTCACCTTTCCAGTCTGGCTGCAATGATGATAAAATCCCAGAAATACCTCCTCCATTAACCCCTCGCTCGCTGGCGAGCCAGCCCATCACCGGGCATCGGGGCGGCGACGCAAGCTCTTGCGCTGGGGTGGCAATTGGCAACGGGGTTTTGCTTCAATATGGGGGAATTTGGCAACACGGGGGAGGTAAAATCAGGGGCGGGTTTTTTTTGTGTGTTTTTTTTGTTTTTTTTGCATGGCAGCACATTTTCTGGGAGCTGGCGAAACCGGCTTGACGCCTTTTTCCTGAGTCACTGCGGCATTGGGTGCCAGGGGAGAACAGGACGACAGATCCCTCCTGCACCCAGCTTCGGCCGCCGTAAACCTGCAGGTGGGGACCCCCTGGCACTCCCCGTGGCCCCCCCGGCCCAGCCGGTGCTGGGCTTTTGCAGGATGGAGATTTGGCCCTCGCCGGCATCTTCGCCCTCCTCTCATCACCTTTTCTGCCCTCTGCCTTTATTTCACACGGGATGGGGGGTGGGAAGCGCGTTACGGTTTCGGTGAAACAAAGCAATCTGCCGGTGGCGCCGTAAGATGCCCGTTTCCCATGCCGGGTGCTGGGCTTACAGGGAGGTGAGGGTCTCGGTGGGGTCCTGGGGGGGATTTGCTGCTGGTGGGGGGTCCTGGCTTGCATCCTGGCTCGTCTCCTGCTCCAGCATCCCAGGACAGGCTTGCTCCTGGGAGAGACACGGAGGTGACGTTGAGCCGGGTGGGATGGAGACCTCGCGCTTCGATTAAACTGGACCCAAGAAGGACCGAGTCCGGCCGGGGAGGTCGGGTCGGTGTCTGCCCCATGGTGCTGCTGCACCCACCTCGGCTGGGGCCGCTTGACGCCGTGCCGAGGGCCAGATCCAGCCCCATCTGCCAGCGGAGGAGCACCGCACCCAGCTGGATTTGTCCCATGGACCCCCTCCGGCCCCATGTCCCCGCAAGCCCACTGGATGCCCCCCCAGCACAGACTGGGTCTCCAAACAAGCCGGGTATCCCCTCGCCATTGCAGGGCACGGATGTGGCCCCCACCATGGCATCTCCCCTCCCGGCACCAGAACTTTCTCACCTGAGTTTCGGCCAACTTTTGCTCGATGTCCATCTCCTCCACGCTCTCCTCGGAGTCGCCGGATTCGCCCGTGGCACTGCCCGGGGACGGACACGCCGGTGCCTCCGCCGCGGTACCGGGGACATTGCAGGGGACGGCTGGGGCTGGGGACGGTGGGTCCCCGGGATGTGCCCGACCCTCACCGTTGGCGGCCGTGCCACCCGGCTGATGAGGGTCCCCTGCGGTGGCCGGGGCTTTGCTCACCTCCAGCCTGGCCACGGCTTTTTCCGACTCTGGTGGCGCGGTGCTGGCGGCCTGGGCAATCGCCTCCGATAAAATCAGCGATGCCAGGGAGGCGGCGATGCCCTCGGCCCCCGCCTGCGCCCCGGCGGCAGCCCCCGATGGCTCTGGACCCTGTTTTTTGGGGAGCCCGGGCGAGTCGGCGCCTGGCTCCGTGGCTGCCGCCGATGTCCCTTGCTCGCGGGATGGAGTTTCGGGGCCGGGACCAGGCTCTGGGGCCTCCTCGCTGGAGACCGACGCCGTCTCCGACAGGGACCCACCGCTGGCAGGTGAAGCCGGTGGGGGGCCGGGGATGCCGGTACCCAGCTCCCCGTTGGAGACGGCATCGGTGGCACCGCTGCCCACCCCGGGGGACCCCGCCGTCGCCTCCGCTTCCACCATGGGTTGCCAGTCTGGCGCCTTCCCCGGGCAGGGGAACATGGCCGGGGGGCTCACCGGCGAAGAGATGACCAGCGAGCGCCGGTTGCTGTGTGTGGGGGGAGGACAGAGGGGTTAAGCCCCCCTCCGGCACGTCCCACAAGGATCATCCTTGGGGACACCTGGCACCGCGGCATCACCGCCCCGCCTTGCAGGTGATGCTTCCCCATCCGGCATGATCGGTAAACAACCCAAATTAATTAATCCAGCGCCACCAAAGCGCCCTCAGCTCGGGGTTGGGAGATGTTCACTCATCCCAGGACTATAGAACTGGAGGCTGCATCACCCTTCTGCTTATCGGGGTGTGTGTGGGGGGGATGATTTGGCCGCTTGAAGCCCCCCACCTCGCCAGAACTCGCCCGCTCGTTCACCTGGGGATGCCTTTAATGATGAAGACTTTGCTCGAGTGCTGCTTGTCCAGTTTGCTCATCACCTCGTAGAGGTCGCGGTTGAGCTGCAAAGGACAGTTTGGGGGCGAGAGAAATGCATCAGAGGGACCCCCCCAGTGTCACCCATCCCCTGGCAACACCATGAACATCCTCGAGCTGCTCTAAATTATTAAATTAAACAAAGAGCAGCGAGGACTCGAGGTGGGTGACTGGCACCAGTGTAGCCGGAGCACCCAGAGATGGCTACAAGACTGCTGGGGGGGGCAAAGAGAGAGGTGTTTTGGGGTGCTGCCTTGTCCCCCCACCTTGCTCATCTCCTTGTAGAAGACATCGCGGAGGTTGGAGATGTTCTGGAAGATGGTCACGTAGCAGGCGATGCGGCTGCGGGAGGGAAAACACGGCGGGAGGTGGTGGTGGGGGTTTGGGGGTGCCGACCCGTTTCCCGCAGGGTCTCGGGGTGCTGAGCACCCAACCGGTGAGCACCCATCCTCCAGGGTCTCTGGGGAGGTGGGGAATGGCAAATAACCCCCTGTGGTGAGGACGAAGTGGCTGTGGACATTTGTCCCTGGGGCCGCCCCGCTGCAGCCATGGTGGCCGTCACAGCCACCGGTGGCCGATGTCCCTCGGGGCCACCGGCCCGTGTCACCACCGTGGCCTTTGGGGAGAAAACGCCACTTCTTCCCCACCACCGGGGGGGACAATGGCGCCCACCCACCGGCACCTGCACCCAGCCCGCGTCCCGGGGCTCAGCGAGTGGTTTTTGGGGACCTCGGGCTCAGATGATGCTTTTTTGGGGGGACCCAGGGGGGTGGGAGGGGGCTGCCTTTGCAAATGGGGGGTGCTGCGGATGCCGTCGGCTTCTGGGCAGGATCATCCCCCGGGGCCATGTGCCTGCCCCAGCCCCGTGATGTCCCCCAGCCCCGCAATATCCCCCAGTCCTGCAATGTCCCCCAGCCCCTGCAATGTCCCCCAGCCCCACAATATCCCCCAGTCCTGCAATGTCCCCCAGCCCCTGCAATGTCCCCCAGCCCCACAATATCCCCCAGTCCTGCAATGTCCCCCAGCCCC